GTGGTCAGTTTGGTAAAACTAAGTGAAGCAATTATTCTATGAATATTTTCTCTGTTGTGCTTCCAGGATCTGTTTTTGTCACACTGCTGTTCATCATGTATGATCAATAGTCCAGAATAAAGCTTCAGTARTCATCCCTATAAAACCTGAAAAGAAAAAAAACTCTTCAAAGCTTTGCTGAACAGTCATGGGAACAGGTTGCTGCCTGGGCCTGCTGCCTGGAGTGGTTTTTACCAAACAACATTGCAAAGTCAGATAGCACAGGGTGCACCTCATACTGGGGTGATGTGAGGAATACACTGATTTGATTCACAAGATTAATATCCAGAAGCTAGAAGTCAGTGAATCACAAAAAAAGTTCTGGCAGACAGTCAAACAGCAATACCAGAGCAGGATATAAAGCTTATTGTCTATTTATATGATGTTCGTAAGGTAATGATTGTAAGGACGTGTTCTATTCTGGCATCTATTCTTCAAAAAAGAACATTCAGAAAATTAAAAATTGTTTAAAAAACTGACAACGAAAACTGGAGGGATGAGGAAAAAAATGAGGAAATTCAATCCATTCACATAAAGTTAGGATTGGAAGGTATGATCATGGTATATCAAATCCCTGGATCAAGACAATATTTGCAGCAGAAGAACATCCTCCAAGAGATGTATTGGAGTCCAATGTTTGGAAGCCAAAGCAAAATGAACTCAAATACAGGGTTGGGKTTTGGTTTGGGTTTTTTTAAAGAGGACAGTAGTCGCTCACGCACCTTACCTACAGAGGTGATAATCATTTCTCTGAAGTTCTTAAATCAAGGATTCTTTTTTGATGAAGAATCTTTTGAGATGCTGAACTTCTTGACACTGCTGCTGCTGCTGAAATCAGTCAGTGAAGTTTTATGACTKTGATATCCTGATTAGTGATCAGATGAGTTCCCCTTACCTTTACAAATGGCAAATTAAGCCTGTAATGTCCCTTCCCACCAAAACCTGTGTTTCCATTGCTGATTTACCTTCTCCTTCTGGGAGCCTTCAGTCAGACAGTGGCAGCACCCAGCTTTTAAAGCAGTAATGGGTGCAGCCCCTCTCTTCCAAGCAGAGTAACCTGGCTCTGTGGACAAATCTCTGCTCACTTTCAACAAATTGGTACAAACTAGAAACCCAGAAAGGCAAAAAAAACCCCCTCTATACTGCAACCCAGTTCCCCACCAGAGAAAAAAGAGGAATTTTGTGTTCATAAGCAGKTGCAAAGAGGAACTGGGATGAGCAAATCAGCTGGATCTGGGGAATTCAATGCAGCTGTTTGCAGGAAGCAATCACCCTTCAAACAGACCCAGAGGTATATGCAAAAGAGAAGGAAAGAATATGGCTTCTAATTCTTTTATATGRTCAATTGCTATTATTAATGGAGACTCAAAATTTTGAGACAGTTGCTAATGAAACACTAACAGTGGATGAASAGCCAGAGGGGAGAAAAGGCCCCTGGTGAAACCCGGCCAGCACCACTTGCAGAGCCAGTGCAAAGGACAGTGGCTTCCCAAAAGCCATAGTGGTGACCTGGTGTTTTAAAGCACTCAGATGCTGCTGGTGGAATGAATTCGGCAGTGGATTTGTCATGGAGAAGATTCAAGCTGAAGAAATGATTCTTGCAAGTGGCAGAACCCTATGGATTAAGGCAGGAGACATTCAAAATCTTACAGAAAACACACAGAAATCTGGAACAGAAATCTGGTAACATACCTCAGAAGACTTGATTAGAAAAATAACTTAGGGATATACCCCAAAAATACATGCACAGGTGATTGATTACCTTTACTTCAGCCATCATTCATTTGATACTTATTCTCACTGTTTTATGAGAACTCTTGCAATATATTGTGTAGGCTCACAATTCTCCATTTAGCACCAAAAAATCCAGACATTCTGCAAAAAGGATGAGGCTAAAACTCTGGAAGAAYGCATTTAATTCAGCTACAAGAACAGGAAAATCACACTATATTTATATTTTTAAATAAAAGGCCTGCTATTGTAGTCCTGATGTAGATAGAATTCTTTTAGAATTTAAAAAAGGTGCCTCAGTCAAGACACCAGGACAAATCTGAAGAATTGTTCAGATATTCTATAATACTAAATCTTCCAAATTGAACTAGCAACTGATAAAACAACTCTCTGACTAACTTTGCTATGTAGTTGCTAAACTTAGCTAACTAACTATGAGGAACCTTTTTAAAACCTYAAACTTCAGTGCAAGCTCAGAGCACTTGTTTTACAAGTGGAGCATCTCACATGTGTGAAAAGTTGCTCATTACAGTAACTCCAAGGCTCAGCTAATCAAGCCTCACAAAAGAAAGAACCTAAATATGAATGTAAAAGAGCACACACATTTACCTTTAAAAAAAGAGCAATAAAAAATCAGAAAGATTTGTGCAAGGAGTCCTTGCAAAATAACTCCACTTGCTGTTTTAGTATCAAAGCACTGAAGAACAGCAGCTTCCCAGTTACCAAACCTTCTCCAGGGATTCTCACAAGGAAAGAGTGAACTGTGCATTTTAGGTCATTCCTCATCATTTGGAACATGCAAATGTCAAGAACTCCTGGAAAAGGCACTGTATTAGGGAACTACAGGTATAGTTGTAAGCACAAACCCTCATGCAATGTGTACTAWGAACCTGTGTATATAATACAAATACGCACACATGCACATAATGAAATTAGAAATATTTCTGCTTCAATACAACCATGTTGGGCCTCAAACTGCAGCTCTCTGATGCTCTAAAGACTTCTGAAAACGCAACATTTGTCTTTAATACAAGGCCAAAATGAAGCCCCAGGCAGCACTGCTGCAGTGCAGGGAACCTGGCACCTTCCCCCGGCTCCACCTCCTCAAGCCACCCCGACATGCTACCAGCAGGGAGGAGGGAAGAAAGTCCAGTGCAACAGAAACAGCAGCTGGAAGAGGGGCAAATAGGGAGTTTGAGACACTAGAGAGGTGAGGAGGCAGCATCAGGCTCCCTTTCCTCTATTGCCCAGGTCCTGCAGCCACCGCTCCCCCATCTCACCACCCCTGCCACGGGCACATCCACCCTGCAGCCTGGAACACCTTTCTCCTCCTCCATGGCAAAATGCACCCAAGCTTTCCATGGCTCTCTCCTCCTCCTCATTTMTTTCTGAAAACCACAGACAGAGGGATCAGCTAGACCAAAACTTAAACAAGTGAAAATGTGAAATAAAAGGTAAAAAAAAAAAGTCTTTCGCTCTTACTGGACATGCTGCAGACATTGTGCCTAGTAACTGTGTAAATATCTAGTGCAAAAGAAACTTAGCATGAATCTCTTTTTTTTTAAATGACTTTCAACTCAAACATGCATAGGGAGAGTAAAGTTATTTTATTAAATCATGCACATCACGTGTGTTAGTGCAAATAGTTTAATCTGTACTCCAGAAATTCTATTGTATTTTTATATCTTTACAAAATAGATTTAAAACAATTATTTACTTTAAAAAATGTAATTCTGAAGTTAAGCATTTCAGAACAATATTTGCAATAACCTATATACAAGAGGTACTAAGTACCACTGGCATACGAGTGTTCTGTGGTTGGGTGGCTTCCTGCAACTGAAAAGGATGAAATGAATGAACTAAATGACAATAGTTATTTTCTAMAAGTCACTTGTGGACTATTTTCTCCAACTAATAATCCTCCCATTARCAAATCCCATGTAACTTAAGATAGAACCTTTAATTAAAGGACAATGACCCTTAAAACCTCACAAAGTAAATTATATGCTAAATTTCTATTTAAATATTTAAACTATCTGTCGATTGCCACAACATTCTTTAAAGCCAATTGAATTGTTGAGATTACCTCCCTATTTTGAAGTTTCCTTTAGCAGAGCCATTTTACTTTACCATTCTTTAGCCTATTATTTAAGTCTTTAATAAACTTTGACAGAACTGTTGAGCTGAACAAGACAACTACTGTCTACATTTAATTCAGCACTAACTACAGTGCTTCCCACCAAAAGTCAGCAAATAGCAATAGTTATAGTACTTAGATAAGGAAAATAAACTTTGTAATGGGGACCACTGCATCATACTTACAGCCATGTGATAAGGATCCACAAAATTTCACTACCAAATTAAAATCATCTTCACCTGACAACACTTCATCAGGTGTATGATTCCAATTTCGTAGTATTTTATGCATCTAGATTTTCTCAGCTGATCACAGACGTACTGTAGCAGTTCTCTTAATAAAGTTACGTCCACAAAAGCTTTTTCTAAAGAGCTTCTCCAGCTCAAGTCWGAAAGTATCAAATGACTGAAAAAATAAACTGATACATGTGATATGTGAAAGTATTCATACTTTTAAAGAAYGTATCTCTTTAAATATATGAAATTTAATAAATTACATTCAAACTAAAGTTAACGTAAGTTGAATTACTGCACTATGTCCATCAAATGACCAAGTACTTGCTCCCAGAAACACCTTAGTTCACTCAAGAACACACACATGCTTACACTCGCACACGCACACACTAAATACTTTAGGCTGGTCTTCACCATCAGTATCTCTATCTCTTTAAGGCTGGACATGAATTGTGTTTATTCCCAAAACCCATTAATAAAGCAATCCTTATGAAAGAAATATATGCTTCCTTTGAAAGGCGTGGTAAGAGAAGTTTTCTTAAGTCTTGTTCCCAACAGCTCAGTGACTAACAGCAAGTAAAATGATACACTAGTTCAAAAAAAAATAGATCATACTGAAAGGCACTGAGCACACTGCACCTGTTTCCCAAGTATCTGCRGGGTTACTTGGCTTGGATGTCCAAATCAGTATTTTCCCCTTAAATCTAGCAAACAGATTCTAAAGCCAGTGTCCGCAACCCTAGCCATTATAAATAATTTGGTACCAAGAAGCCTACTTTAGGCCACMATTATAATATTCAGAATCCCAGCATACTAATTTAAAACTTGCATGAAGTTGTAAGCAAAAATATTGCTCACAGTATGATGAATCACAATTTTATTCCCTCTTTATAGACAGATACATTTTATACAATTTAAAGCAAATGACCCTACTGCTGTTCTCACGCAGAGCTGTGCTGTATTAAGAGGTAAAAAGGAAGAGAATTAATCTGTTTTCCCTCAGTATATGAATGTTGCCAGCTTCTAAAGGGAGGACGGTGTATGGATTCAACAACAGTTCTCATGGAGAAGCTCTGGTTAGGCCTGGGTACAGCACCACGGCTGTTACAGCAACCAAAGCTGCCATCACAGGCATCCAAGGCCATTGTCTCTGTGTGGAGAGAAAAAAGAAATCAATATCATATCTGTTCTAATTCATACTAATCAGTTTACCTCGTGGTTCCTGCAAGTCCTGAGTACCTGTTGATAGGCATCACTACAATGTTACCCACGAGCCCTGCTGCAGGCTAGTCCTGACTTGGAGCACCACAGCAAACCAGGTTTCTCTAGCACAGGGAACTCCACACCTCTTCATGACTGAGGATCATCTGGAAGACTTTTGGCAGCTCCGTGTTYCCAGGTCTGTTACTGTACACACCTCAGAGAAATCTGCCACTGAGCATGCGAGGGCTTGAGATGTTTAAAACATCACTTGTGCCAAGTCAAGGCTAGACACAGGTTTATGGACATCTTTAACTTTGGATTGTTTAAATCCAGATCTGTGACGTTAGTTTGTAGCAGATCCTTGCAATATYATTTTTAACAGACTGTCACAACATTGCATGACAACAATGGCATTTTAAGAGGAGGACACACTGAGAGACATAAGAGAAAATGCAAGCTGAGAGTTCAGAATACAAACCAACCACCTATTTCTTTTTTTTTCCCATCTTTCCATCAACAATAGTGAGAAAAATTAAAGTGTTTAGAGCCAGAGAGGAATTTCTTAGTCCATAGATAGGAACCAAAGCTTGTTGTATTTTATTATTAGAGGCAAACTCTTCATTTTTCATAATTAATTAAGCAATTAAGTTTTCTTACAAGCCCTAGCATCACAGCATTGTGCAAAAGGCAGCCCATTTTCTAAAGACAAACTGAGACCCAGTTAGAAGAGGCACGTTCAAGCACCAGTTAGAACAAAATTAATTGTTAGAATTAAAGAAATCACAGAGATGTTAAATGATTAGTGGATTGCTCAGCTCATCAGTGTCAACAGAATGGCTYAAATGAAGGGTTTGCTTCAGGTAAAGAAACACCTGTGAGCATTTCACCATGCACTATTTGATACAGAAATGGCACAAACAGGTGAGAGGGACAAACATACATTGACTGAACAGTAGTGCTTGTACCTTTCGCTACCACAATGGGCCGTAACACCAATACAGGAAAGCCAGGATTAGGCCGATGAATACGGCTGGGACGGGTTGTAATATGGAAGGCTAAAGAAGGGAAGGGATATTAAAAATCACTTTGTGCTATAAATCAATCAGGTAAAGATGATTTAGAAAGGGGAAAATAAGTCAGTAAGTTTTGTTTTAATTGAAATGTATTAAAGACATCTAACACATTACAGCATTATCTAATCTGGTATACAAAGTTAGTACACCATTCTACTCAAATTAACAGGGATGTTTGAAAATATAGGGAAGTAAGCAGAAAATGTTCCAAGAAACCTGTTGTCACAACTTGGAATTTAGCACTTGAAAACAATATAAATCTTAAACTGATTTGCCTGTATCTTATTTATAGTTGGTTTTAGTTTTTCTGAGTGAGAGGAAATCCTCATTGGATTTCTTGAAAGAGAGACTCAAACCAAATATTGGATTTTTCAGCTTTTTCTTCATTCCTTGCTAGTTAGCCTTTTCCACTTTCCATCACCAGCCTCTGGAAAAACAATCTTTTTCCTCCATTAGTGAATCAATTACAGTTATGTCCACAGGCAAACCCAGTAGTTCAGACATTTCCGTGAGATTGTAACATGACTGTACAATCCACAGTTACTAAAAAGCAGAGAAGCATATTTCCATCAGAGATACTACAAAGCTCAGCATCTCTGCCAGGTCAGCAGCCTTGTGACCAAATAAAATTCTGAAAATTGATCAAATGCTGCAACTGGGCCAAACCAGCAGCTGGCCAGACTGCAGGGTTCATCYAGCTTATTGGCCTCCTCAGAACCATTCACAAGTTTTCTCAGCTTTGTTCAATTCATGTAAAGTACTGCACATTCTGGATGAACAGCCTGTATCTGTGGCATGATAAATTAAAAGCAAAAATGGACCTAAATYCTTTTTAAGCTGTCCTTGGAAGACATCTGCTTTCTCTGTATCCTACTCTATAATCTGTGCACACACRAAGACACACAGAGGTGAAGGTCAAACCATGCCAAATATTTTAAAAACTGTGCTGAAGCTACCTTSATTTTGTTCAGTCAAATAAATAAACAAATGATAAATTCATGCTTATTTTTTCTAAAACATTGTGATTAGTATGTAAAATCTCATCCTGCTATGAATTTGTAGGAATCACTTATTCATAGAACTTCCAATATGGTTTAAAACACAGGAATGAAGGTATTCTGGTCTTGTTCAAGAATTTTTTTTTTCAATCAAGGCAAATGCTTAACAGAAAAGTTATGTGTAACTATCGAAGTCTTTTMCATGCAAGATTATTTTTGTGTCATGGGTGCCACGAATCACAGTGCCACCTTCCCACAGAAAGCATGTTGGCAGAAATGATCACAGCAGTGTTCAAAAAAGTGCCAGAAGTTTAAATCAACCAGAGTAGTGATGTTCTCAAACCATTCATATAATTAAATCTGTCATTTAAAGCGCATCAGGAAGTAACCAGTGACTACAAGCATGCAAGCACAAGTAGTGCACCACACTGCTAAGCATTTCAAAACCACCACACTGCAACCGTTTAAAAAGAAAAACTTAAATATCAAAACTTAATATTTAAATGATATCCCAAATGGAGTACAGAAGCATTGTCTTTTCTAACATTTGTGGGTTCACTGAACAATTCTATAGCTTTTTTTTCAAGTTATACACATTGATGGCTGTGGCATCTTGGCAAATGAAACTGATGGTAAATATCAATCACATTCAATGAGATCACCTCCAAATGATCAGAATTTCCCCTCACAAACTTATCAATACATAATGAGTATATCTCCCTGCTGTCAAGGAGCATTTAACTAGGTGCTTCAACAAACTTTTATTAGAATGTGAAGATAAGCAAACTCAGACACAGATAGGCTGCAAAAGGGAACAAATCCCTCAGTGGGAAGTGACTTTCTGTCCTYGGAAATGAAGTAGAAGATAATGATTCCAGCATAAGGGGGCAATGGTACTTGAAAAATTTGACCTTGGAACTCAGCCCAGTATCCATGATGTTTGAAACAATCCCCAAGATGGATATGTTTTACATTACTGACTGTGAGTAATGTTTGTGAGCAGTGAATTTGCCCTTATATGGAGGATGCTCTTCATCACACCCTGACCTCTAGGTTTCAACTGTCACAATTAACTCCTCTTTTGCAACATTTTGGCAACTTCTGTGGTTCCTGCTTTTATTTAGATACTCACCTCTACTTCCTAAAATTTCCTTTTAGATTTTTCACTTTCATCAGGTGCTCCAATTTCTTTCACAGTATTTCAACTCTGCTATCCCCCTTTTTCCACTGATCACTTTGATTCTCAGGTTAATGTTTTTAACAGAGCAGAAAAACTCACATTCACAATTACCTATTCAGTGTGATTTTAAAATGGGGTGAGGGTTTTGACTTCTGTTTTAAGTAACTCAAATAATGCAGAATTATCTGAGCACTGTGAAAAAAYTCTAAGAAGAATCAGGTTCCAAGGGAATTATGAAGTCATTCCTGAAAATATGGCTGAAAAAGTGAGAAGGACTTTGAATTCTTTACATCTTTGACAACTCTTATGTTGGAGGTTTATATTCAAGAATTGAYTATGGGAAGGATATTCATACAAATTTTGGGCATCCAGCAGCCAGCTGATTTTAGAGGATGGGACCTGTAAAATTTTCRTTGTAGTCATAGAAATAGCTTGCTAAAGTCTGTTACAAGAGCATTCATCATCCTCCTATTTTGAACAGTGCATTACAGGAGCTGTTCACCCTGCATTGACCACAGAGGCAGTACAGGAAGACAAAATCAGCCCTCCCAGGGCAGTAAGGGAGTTAAAATAAGGCTATGACCAYCTTATGTATCTGCCACACCCATAATATTTGGAGGATTTCAGAATCTCAGTAAAATAAAAAATTGTCTCTAGCTGGGAACTCAGTCCCAATGATACAACYTCTCAAATAAATTGCAACAGAAAACAGTTATTTTCATTAGTGAATAGAAAGGACAGTTCAACTGTACTGTTTAAAGAATGAGCCCATCAGAGATAACCACAGTTAAGAAGCAAGAGCAAGACTAAGGAGGGAACAGCCTTTGTAATAAATACTAATAAAATAGGAGCAGCTTGAAAAAGCTTGCTTAATTCATTCGGATACAGGTTTCTCAGCTTTTTCCCCTGTATCCTTTTCCGAAATCAAAAAGTTTTACTTAGTTCTGATTGACTAGTATTYAAGCCACACGTTTTCAAGAGAGCAGATATCTAAGGACATACTTAAAACTGTCAAGCAACTATAAATTTAACTTTCATGCATAATTGTAACAGCATAATGATCTGCAAATCTGCACAGGCAGGACCAGAATGGAATTTTGGGTAATATGGTACAGCCTTCTTTAAAAAGTCCATGTTTTTCTACTGGACTCTTCCATAACCCTTCAATCAACAGAATTGCCAGTGTCATAATCTGACTTCCCCACACACTTGGTACAGACTTACGTTGTTTCCTTTTTCTTGTAGCAGCTTCAGATTTTCTTTACATTGTTTGAGCTCTTCCGTGAGTGACTGGTTTTGCTGCTCAGCCAYCTCGTACTTTGCCTTCAGCTCCGAGAGCACAGTCTGTGTTCTTTCATACTAAAGACAAAGAGAGAACAATCTGTGGACCCCTGGACACCCAACACATGCTGACATCTGGCTAGCACACAGCTTCCTTTTCTGTCATCTACTAGACTAACTCGCCTTGGATCAGTGCTCTTCCTTTTCACAAAACCAAGGTAGAATTTAGATTTCTTTTTTTTCTAAATTAAGATTTTTTGCCCAGCTTGGCAGGGCTAGGATTACCAAACCCAAGGAAATACAAAGGAAACGCAGAGCCTTAATTAATCTCTCATAGCAATTATTCATTATTATATTGGAAAGAACTGTAAAAACTACAAAGAGGAAACAAGAAATGGGGAAATAAGGAGTCCTTCACATTTAAATAGGGGCCTTACAGCTAGGCTGCAGCTTAAATACCCACAACCTAATAAGTGCAAAAATCAATCCTCTGTATGAATTAAATCAAACCCTCTTCCTACACAGCAAATTCAAACATAAGAGCAAGGCAGGCATTAAAAAAATATTATGCCTTGTTGCTGTGAGGCCATAATCCTCACGTGGGTCAAGCACGGACAGTACTGGGTGAATGTGACATGTTCCTACAGAATGGATAGCTTTTTCTTTTTTGTACCCACATTCCRTCTTTTCTACAGATCACAAGCTTTCTAGCAGTCCTCCTGACTGGGCTTAGTAAGGACAGAACCAATGATTTTCAGTACTGGCATTCACCACACATTTAGAAGATGAGGCACCCTTACAAATACTGAAGTGATTACAAAACAGAGATGCAGATAACTGGGATTTGCACATTCTGAGAATTGTAAGGAATGTGACATGGATGAATTAACCACAAAGCAAACAAAAGAACTGCTAAAGAAACTAAGAGCAGTGACTGGGGAAACACTCAAAATGCTCATAAGAGGAAGCAAGTAAGTGTTGGAGACTATGGTCTTTTTCCAGACATAATCTTTAGAGGCCAGGCAGATTAAATACRTGCTCAGAATGCTGGCTCTTCCTTATGCACACACCAATCCACTAAGATAAAAGGAGTTCTTTGTAAGGAATGTGTAGTCCCATTGTCAAATAAAAGAGTTCAAATCTAAYTAGGAAGATCAGGCTGTAAAAGGAATTAACTTTGACTCATAACAGCTAAACAAACTTTGGACCATGACGTTCATGAAGATTCTGAATAAGGATTTACCTGTCTGAACAGCTTAAAAATAAATTCACTACAGTAGTGCATGAAAGTAAGGGTTAGGAAGTTCCCAAAGAAAATGGGAACCTGAAAGCTTCCTTTTCAGGTTTGATTTCCATTTTATATTTTCTTAGCTACCATTTAAGCGGCTTCCAATAAACATATGAAAGGAATTCATTACTAGAAAACTTTCCCTTTTCTTTTGGCTTAAAAAGGTCARTCATTGGGCATTACATTCTTGCAGAATGGAAATATTTCATGTTACCTCCTTCTGAACATCTTTTGCTTGACTCTCAGCTTCACTGAGTTGAGTTTTCAGACTGGCTGCATCCCGCTGATGTTTTTCTTTCAAAGATCCCATCTGATTTTCAAGTTCYTTTCGAGACATTTCAAGAACACTTATATCGCTGGTTAGTGCTAAACTCTGCTTCTGYGAGCTGAAAAACAAAACCCAATTGATTCCTTATGCATTTTAAATATAAACAAACAGGCACTTTCCATCCTTGAAAGCTTAACACATTGGTTTTATTATGTAAATATCAGCTTAGAGCAATCACATTATTAGTCTCCCTATACAGAATGCTGACACAAAAGGCTGGCCATGGTCTTACTTTTAAATATATGTCCACAGCTTAGTGTGTATAATTAACATTCAGTACTTCTTTTGGGAGCAAAAACCACCACCAGCAAAACCCTTCAGCTGCTGTGGTATCTCCTAGATAAACCATTGTGCCCTTACCTRGAAAGCTCCTTCTCTTGTCGCTGAAGTTCAGATGTAAGCGAAGTGTTTTCCTTCCTCAGTTTGACACATTCAGCTTCCAGAGCAATCCACTCTGCCTTCAACTTTTCAAGTTCACCTGGAATAAATAAATTTAATTCAATTAGGTAAAATTATTTCATGACTACTTCAAGTAATACCAGCTAATAAATGGAAGAAAAGCTGGTATCAGCCTTAAATATCAAATATACTTGTTTGTAATCATGTCACATGCATTCTTTCATGAGCACTTGTAAAATATTACAGTATCTTCTACTGTTATGAGTTTTGTGACCCAGGCAAGTTACTTTTTTCATTAAAACTTTTTCTAAGGTAAAAAAAAAAGAAGTAGAAAAGTCTTTCTATGGTTTACTCTAGTATTTTAGAACGAGTGGCAGAAAAGCATATCTGAAGAAAATTGTTTCCCAGGCTTGAAAATAGCAAGAGAATCACTAGATACCATGCCTCTGTTACAAGGAAAAGAATATTTAAAGTAAAAAGCTCTGGTGAWGCTTTTGGTAGAATTAAAAAGTCAGGAGCTCCCCCTTTATGGGCTTAAACTATAGAGAAGTTGYACAAGTCCTCTTGGAAATCTTTGGCAGTATGAATCCCTCAAACTGTAAATGTTTTCCATCTTTTTTAAGTGGAATTATACTTGGTCTACTCCTGATATCAAAGAGTACATAAATTAATTTACGCATAATTGATAATTATATTTAATGAAGGATGCAAAACATCTTTCCTATCACTACAAGCCTTGATATGCATATATAAATACATACACACATATAAATACATACATGTGTGTGTATATRCACASAAAATAGATAAATGATGACAGAGGGACAAACAAAACAGTGATTTGAGTAACTGGCATTCACCACCTTGAGCAGGATGCTCTGGTAGCCATGCTCTGCAACATCCTTTCAAATACCTTTTAGGCGAGAGGCCTCTTCCTTCTGCTGCTCCTCACACTGCTGGCATTTGAGCTGAAAACTGGCTTGCAGATTGACAATTTCTTTTTCATAATCCGAGGCATCTTTCCTCCACCGTTCAAGCTCTGCTCGCACTGTCTGCAGCTCAGCTTGCAATGAAGAAATATCAGTGTCTCGTTCTGATGCTGCCTTTTCTGCTACYTTTTGAAGTGACAGAATCTCATTTTGAGCACTGACTAGTTCATTTCGAGTGGTTGAAATTTCATTCTCCTTTTCCTTGCGAAGATTCTCAATTTCTTCTTGCAACCTTCGCAACTGAGCTGGAAAGCAGACATTCATGTTTATATTTTTTCAAACTGCATTGAAAAAAAAAATCATAAAAACCCTACCTCCCTTTCTCAACATGTTGATCTTTAACAGTACTAAARAAACCTAATGCAACTGAAAAAATAAATTAATCTTGTCAAATATTATACCCTTAAAAAGCCAAGTATGTGGGCCATGCAATACAGAGAGCAAAAAGAAACAAAAATTATGTCTGGACAAAGCTTTCTTAGACAAAGCTGAGTTGTGTGTGTGACCAAAGCAACTTTCCAAAATCTGAAACCAAGATTTAGATCCAACATCACCACRAACAAAACAAGTATTATGGGACAAGGATATTGGGACTTTCAGGGACAAGAGGAAAAGTAAGAAAGCTTCCATGACTTGCAAAACTACATTGGAATTGTTTGCCTGGTCAGCAGTTAACTTGTGATGTCTATAAATATTTGAGGCACAGAGTAATTTCTACTCCATTSTCAACATGCAGTAGAGGAAATAAACATTATCTCTTTGCAAAAAGCATTTTTTAAAGCAAAAGATTAATTTTAAATTGAAAGGGACAGCTGCACCAAATATACTGAGCTAGAAGAAGGTCCTTTACAGCTTACTGTAAATGAGCAGCAGTCACACACACACGAGGCTACTTCACATTTTTGCATGAAGCAAACCTTAAAAATTATTCCCACCTAAAACCCTTTCATTACTAAAGACATCTCTGAGCACAATTTTTCCCAAACACACATGTGAATAGAATCCAGTGTGAGCAGTTGGAAAAAAAAGTACAATAGAGAGGAAAGGGAAGTATGAAAAAACAWCAAAACTACACTTACAACCCTGACTGATGTGAGCAAGTGTTTGATTTACTGTGGCTTTGTTTCACTTTTCAATAAACACATATTTCACTGATTTCAACACGGAAAAAAGCAATTATTAAATTAATGAAGAACTACTCTGAAAAAAAAGGTAAAATTCTTAAGAYTACTTGAAAACCTAATGTAAAATACTGTAGAGTGTCAGAATTACACATTCAAAGTTGTCTGTTTCAGAACCAAAGGGCAAAACAAGGACAGTGAAAAGCATGGGGTGGATAACCAAGGCTGAGTAACCTTCCTAGATTACTTGTATTTATTTTTGTCCTCTCAATCCATTATAGAACATGACAGGAAGAATGTGAGTGAGCCTTGCTGTAAACTGATAGACCATCAAAGCTACTCAAGAGACYTGCACCTTCATGACAATTATACTTGTATGTTTTTCAGTAGCTACATATACAGCAATAGAGAAAGAATGCCTATAATGGCACAAACTAGAAACTTTGCTGACATAACTTAACTGATGTGCAAAGAAGAAAAATTCACCTTTTTTGTGCCCTCCTCTAAACAGCAAGATTTTAATCTCATTAGATACACTAAAGAACCTAAGAATTAGCCAATTTCCCACTTTGAAGGAAAAAGACATAATGGGAAAAAATATGGTAGTTATTATATACTGTAGTACCTGAGGACTATTATAGACAATAGTACACAGTGAATTAATTTCAAGCAATTCTGCATAAGATCAAAGTCTATCTGTTCCATAACAAAGATGTTTGCAGCACAATGGATTTTGAAATATATATGAGCAAAATGAGGCTTACTACCACCTTGTCTGTTTGAAAATAGTTTCTACAGGCTTATACTAACAGAATAGCAAATAAAGTAGTGGATGAGAACAACCTGACAGTAAGACAATAAATGATGTATTAACAATTGCCTTTCCATGTATTCTTCCATTAGAATTCTTGAACCAACCAAAATAGTATGTTTTAAAACACAAAGGACTACAACTTGCTAATACAGCAGGTGCCTGAGCAAAGGAATGCAAACCATATCTTCCTGATCATATTTTCTTTATAAGCCAAGCTAAACTCCTGTTTCTTGGTATTGGCAGAATTTCAAATAAATTTTTTTTTTTTATTCTGTGCATGTTGGTGATGAACAACTCTCCCTTGAGATGTTCAGGCACAAAGTTTCAGTCTCAGACTGAAAATCCAAAGACACACACAAGTTCTAAGTTTGGTGGAGTTGTAGAAATAACTTAAACAGGAAAATTACTWCTAAGAATAGGGGAACGGTTTCTGAAGCGTTGGATATAATTTGAGAGGACAATTAGAAAGAAAACTTCCATTACATCTCTCGTTTATGTAAGCCATTACCTCATCTAAACTGAATGCTTCACTCCTTTATTTTTTTTTTAAGTGAGGAGCAGTAAGTTACTTGAATTTCCTTCTCTACCTATCTGTACATCTAATGACTCTGACACGTAGAGACACGACCTCAGTTGTTTCTCTGGYACTTTTTCTTCTCTATCACAAAGTCAACAACACTGGCCTAAGACATTGATTTAATGAAAATACTTCTAGAAATATTACTGCATCAGGTTGCCAATTGTTTTTTTTTTTCCCCTGCAGTTCACAGGGGCTGCCAAGGGAGAATCCTGACAACTTCTCCCAAACTGTGAGATGTGTCACACCCTAAAAGTTTGGGAAGCAGCAAAGGACACAATGAACATCAGAACATTTTGAACTACAACAGAGAGAGGAGGAAACATAAGCAAACCCCTCTTGAGAAGGATCCAGAAAACACAAAATACCGAATTAAGAAGGGGCATCTTGAATTTATGTTTGGCTTTGTCAAGCTTCTATTTTCATTCTCTCTTTTTAGGAGGAAAAGAAAAAAATTCTGCATAGAAATAACTATCAAATAGTTTCTAATTTTTGTTACAGCATTTACTACTTGGAGAATTTTCATTATTAGCAAGATAACACTCAAAATTAAATTGCTCCTTTTGTTCTGAAGAGCATTCAGTAAACTTCTCTTTCTTACAGAAGCARTGGCAGAAAATGTAAATATTCCTCGTTGATATTCATATAAAACAGACCTATTACATAAGCTTTTCAGTGTAACTAGAATATGACAAGTACTGCATTACACAACAAACTACTGCCCAGAAAGTCATTTTCTCAGGCTATTTTGACTTCCTAAGAAAGTCAAGACTGTGAATCCACCTGCCTGTCTGCTCATCTGCCTTCAAGCCATTTATGGGATCAAACCAAATGATAAGCTGACAAAGATCCCACAGGATGAAGCTTCTAAGTTTCATAACAATCAGCAGCTAAGTAGCTCCACAAACTAATGCTTGCTCTAAAGAAGTCACAGTGCAATTTAATGTTTACTGGCTTCAGGCTASACAGACTGATCAACGAGCTCACTCACATGCACAGATGCCACATCACTGTGATACAGAGTATGAGATTCAGAAGTTATGTAAATCATGGGATTACATCCTGCTGTAATCATTTTGGGCTGAAAAGAGCATGATTGCTAATATCAATTTTCAGAAAAGCATGGACAGTGTCTCTCTTGCAGAAACTTTACCGCAYGCTCTGAGGTTGTGTGAGGATCTGGATGAAAACTTTCTTTAAGAGGATCCTATAATGAAGTGAAGAGACTGAGCAGCACAAGAACACTTAAAGGTTCTGAGTGCTCTGAAAGCAGTCACATAAGATTCCCTGGATCAATGGAGAAAGACTAAAGAGAGATGAACAAGAGGTATCTACTACAGAYTGCATCTTTTGCATTTTCTAAGTTACTGTCAAAACCACAGGAGTTGAAAGGAAACATTCCACAATAAAATTCAAAGATACGGTGAAACAAACTAGATTTAAAATATACACTCAATTAAACATTTTCCTTTATTAGTGACTGTGATGGCACAGAAACAGTCAAAACTGTATATTTTCCCTGAAGAGTGGGATGAAAAAAATTCCTACCTTGCAGAGCATTTATTTGCTTGTTAGATTCTTCAACTTGCACTCGATATGCTTTTCTCTCTTCTTCCAAGAGCGCTATAAATAAAAGTGAAAATGTGCCCAAGTTTTTGTTAGTAAAATRTATTTCAGATGTGCAATTAATTTTAGTCACAACTTCCCCTTAAATTAAATATTAAACAAACATATTATTTCAAGAAGTTATCAAAGGTAGTAGCTGTGTAAGTAGTTTAATAGAAGTTAATACTAAGACATCATTCCGTTATTGTGGTAGTATTACAATTAATTTGAAATTAATATGTTGCCTGATCCAAAAACTCCATGTGTGCTAAGTGCAAACTGGTGTGGGAGGAAGAAAAAAAAAAACCTGTAAATATAACCCCTAAAGAACACTGAACAATTAAACTGGACTATACCATTTCCTTTCAAAAACAATWGAGCTGATAGGATGATCTAACGAAGAGCTACCACTGAAGAGATTCAATCACATCCATTATCAGACTGAAATAAGGAAGAAATATACAGCGTTCAAGTACGAATTCAATACTATGAAAACATGTTGGTTTATCTAGAACTRCCTGATAAATACAATTTTAATGAATACCCTACAGAACCAAGTTGATCTGGTCTCACCTTGAAGTTCAAAGCATTTTTGTTTACTTGTCCTAGCTAGCTCTTGGGCTTCAATCAGCTCCTTGTGCAGTTGCTGAATTTCTTGCTTAGCCTCAGTCTCTGATTGTGCACCCTGCAATTCATCTGATAAAAGAACATTTTCTTTAAATCATAAATTTGTACAAMAGTTTAATTTGCACTGCCGTGTGATGATTTGCAACTTTTTAYCCAAATTTCCAATGTTAGTTAAAGTAAACTCAAAATAGGATTAGGTAAATATTAGCAAAAATATTAATATACTTTAAAAAGGAGTAAAACATAYGCAAACTCTAAAACATTCATTATAYATAACATGCAGTATGAAACAAAAAATAACAARGAAGAATTAGAGAGTTTTTAAAAACACTGTATAAATTGGCAAGGACTTCTGAATTGACAAAAACAAGGAACAACAAACCTAAGACAATCCTTGACTCTGTTTACAACTTGTCTCTTTTTAAAGAAAGCTGCTCTAAGCCTGTCTCAGTGCACAGGCTCAGGCAAGAGCTCCTATTCCATGTTTCACTACTGCCACCCACCCACCACATTGCCCGGCTTGGCCATTCCCTCTGGGGGCCAACAAGGAAAGGAAAAACTTAGGGAAATTTTCTAAAACAAAATTAAGAAGGAAAGTCCAGCCTCCTTATTTCATTCAGTGGCCTTAGTGAATAAAAAAGATAAATTTTGTACTTCTTTTTTTAATTATATCTTAAAATATTAGATATCTCTTTAATATGATCATATGTCTATGCACATTATTTAAACTCTAAATAAAAACATTTGTTCCTCCCCATGAGTTTTGTATTAGCTAAAATGCATACTAAATGCCTTTTTGGGCTTATAAGAGATGACCTGCAGTYACAGATAAATTAAATATTTCTACAGCTGAAGTTTTGGAGGAATTGAAAAGAGGAAGACTAAGTGTAACTAAGAGCAGGGTCCTCTAATGGCACACGCTAGAAACTAAATGCAGGAACACTTCAGCCTGAAGGCATCTGCAAARCCAGGAACAGCATCCAGCAAACCCTCATTTATTAGATTTTCCTTAAGTAGTGTCTGTGCAGMAACAGATCTTTCCAGAGGTACTAACAGCACTAATAAACTGTATAGGTAGAAGGCTAAAACTTAATATAAAGCTTGTTTGGTGAGAGAGTAAAGAAAGGAAATTGGTGAAAGAATTCCAGCTGTGTATCATGGGAGAGGGACAACAGRAAAGGGCCATGTTACACAGCTACCTGGTCAATAAATATCTGCAACTATAGGCCATATGGATTTAAGATAAAGGCTCAGAAAAAAACATTACTTTGGTTGCCTGGACCTCTCAGTATAAAGGAAAAAATAAAAAGAAGSTATAATTTAGTTCATCATTAGMCTTTTGACATTCACATTTAGCTGTWACATTTATATGTTACCAATAAAGTAAATACAGGTTTTTTTCTTATTCTCTTAATGAAGAAAATKGTTTAGCAAGTCATGCTAAAGTATTCATACTGCATCTTTCTCAGGGGCCATTTTTCCTGCTCTCACAGTAATGAATTGGTGGGTTTGAGTAGAGATGAGGACACACATGTGCTTTTAGACTTTTTCAGAATGAAATTATGAGAGCAGAAAGAACAGAGAGGACTACATATTTCATCCAAATACTTTGTTTTATAGTTTATTAGTTCTCAATCCAAGTTTCTCTTTACTGAACATGTTTTGTTCCTAGCTTCTCATGGATAAAGATTTGGGGCAATTAGACTTTCAACCCTCCTTAATGAGACTTTTCAGAAGAAATGGATGAGGAAGTTGACAAATTATGCTCAAAACGGGCCTGATAAAGAAACAGTGTCCCAAATCCAACAACAGACACCCTAAATGAACTTTCTGGTGTTTTCTAGTCAATGAAAGCACACATCATAAAAGACAGTACTGCTTCAAAGGAGATGGGAGGCTCAATTTAAGGGATAACATAATCTGTTTAGCAAAGGCACTTTCAAGGTAAAAACTCTTTCCTACTGCAACACAAAAGGGGAATTTCCATGTGCCCAACATGCTTCTAAATCAAAAGCCAAAAAACATCAGTGCAAAAAAAAATTAGCTTTTTAGTCTTACCCAAACTGAAAATTTCTATAATGTCTTTTAGTTCAAAGCAATTTTTGTGCTATTTCTAGCTTGGAAAAAGAATTCTTCAGTRAGTAGGATTGCCTTATTCATAAATAATAAAATTCAGAATCAGTTCCATTAAGAAGCAAATTCACATGATGACTAACTGCTCTCAGAGAAGGCTAAGGAGTTATCATTAATTACAATAAGGTGCCAGAAAAWATTAAATAAAAAGAAAAGGTCAAATACAGCAGTTTGAAAACCCTCATTCATTTTTTCTAACTCATGGAAAATTTAAATCTGCGATCGGTTTGTTCTCAATTAATAGCACTTTGTTTYCCACACAAGTACAGTGAGGCTTCCCTTAACACTGACTCTAATGGCAATTTTAAAATGGTTTAAAAACCTTCTTTTTAATGATTTTAGTTTAGAAAAAAAATTGGTAACAGAGAACTCAGAACCACACATAGGTTGTAGTCTTAACCAATCCCTTATCTGCATGTGCCTGGCCTGTGGAAGCAACTTTATGAGCAGCCTGGTATTTCTTCAAGTCTCACTTCTAAAAGTTCGTTTTCAGAACTTTGCAGGATTTCTCAGGTTATTCAGAGGACAATTTTCAGGGTACTCTGGTGAAGTCAGACAAAACAATTAAAACCCTGAGGGTTTYTTTTAGCTTTGTAAGATCCATATGAAAGAAACTGCATCATACATTTAAAATAAAGTATCTGGCTATTCTGACATAAAACAGTGGTTCACAAACTTTCTGAACCAACAGAACACTGCTGATTTTCAAAATKTCTTATGTAAATTACTATTCAGCAAACCCTCAGCTGAAAAATACTTTCTACTAAGATTCCATGGATCAGTCTTGTAGGTATTATGAAAACACAGGGACATTGGTAAGAACAAGATTACCAACCTTTCCATCTGTTTAACATTTACCTGTCTTCAACTTTGCAATAAGTAGTCACAAACAGCCTGTTTAAACAGAAGTGTCTAGGGAACTGTTATGAATGGTTAATAAAGTAATTTACCTCGTGGGGGAAAAACAAAGCCAACTAAACTGTGACAGCTTCCCCTCTTCCCCTCCTTGCCAGATTCTGACTTGTAGAAAGCTGAATCAAATCCTGAGTGCACTCAAAAATTTTGATGGAAAATGCTTGGAGGAAACTACAGCAGTTARAAGTCTCATAATTTTCTTGTTCTATTAATTTGTTTTGTGAATTCCAACAAGACCGCTGCCTTTTCCAGCGGCCATTTCCACATTCCAAACAAAAATGTTCTCACTCTTCCTTAATTATATGACTGCATAACAAGTCCACTTGAAAAACTTTCTGTGGCAAATGAGATCCTTTTTAGGGCAAAGTCAGGCACATGAAGCAGCTCTCTGAAAAAAACCCTCAAACAAAACTGTGGGTTTATAGGCTCTTCATAAAAATTAAAAGGGCAAATGATTCACTGCACAGATATTTTTAATGGTTTCGTGAGAGCAAAACAGGAATGCCCATAAATAGCCTCAAGAGGAAGAGAAAAGTTGTTGCCAACCTCATTTTTATGACCAAAAATAAGACTATTATAATCACTACAAACAACACYATCAAATTCTACCTTCTAGCATGGGAAGTCACTGAATATATTTGTTATTAACTGCAGATATCAGAGCAAACCCTGAATGGAACATGCTCAGTATCTCAAACACTCCTTTCTCAACTGCTTTGCTGAACTGATGTCCACTGGGAAATATCAAACTCAATTTTGTATGTGTTGCCAAACAGCAAAAGTAATTTGTGCAATATTAGGAAGCCTTTCTGTCGTAAAATTAGGGAGTGTAAACAATTGCAGAAAAAAAGCTCTTTTACAGGTCTCCTACGTTCCGTTATGATTTCCTGTCTTTCAGAATCACAAAGAACTGTGACATTCTTTTTAGTTGTGATTTCAATATGAGCATAATTTTACAGATCTTATCTATGYCTGATTGTAAAAAAAGCATACAATTACTTTCAGTAGGCTAAATGCAATAACTAATCAATATGTCACAAAAAAATCAGCTAGTGAATATGTAAATATCAGCTTGCTAATTAAGTTTAAAGTAAATGCCTTCAGTGCAAAAAACAAAAAAAAATTAACTTTTTTAGCAATGAAGCTCAAACCTAAGCCKCAGCAATCATTTTAAATACAGTTACAAAACAAACTTCAAATCTTGACTCTGTTAAAAAGAAACTCTAAAATCRTTGTTTTGATTAACCCATCAGCTGCAAACTAACAGCAGCATTTCTGACAGTGATGGAAGCTATGCAATTCAAATGTGACAATGCTTGAAAAATGTCAGTGATGGAAGAAYCCCTCCTCCCCACAGCTATCAGTCKTAAACGTGTGCTGACTCTACTTCTAGGAATTTACATGTTATAACTTCGACTTGAGAAGTGCGTTGGTGAGTGCAAAGATTACCTTTATTATTTCTATAGCAACACTCAAAAGTGTGCTTTTATATCACATCATCCAAAGGTGATACTTACTGATACTTATTATTACTGATACTTAAATTTAACTCTTCCATACTCCATCATTAAAATCTTTGAATTTCAGCATTCTACTTCAATGCACTTTTGATAAAAACCAGGCASGTAAAGAGGCTACATATACAGATTATGCATCTAAGGTTGCGAAAGTAAATTTGTTTACCTTTTAGAAGAGCTACTTTAGCAATAGGTTCATTTAGATCTTGGTCATCCATTTGAGCATCTAAAAAAAAACCCCACACCTTTCAGAGAGCAGGCAGACTGCAGACAGTTCTCATATATACATTCTTTAAATGGAGAGAAGCTTTTATGTTCTTCTCAATTTACAAGAGTTAATTATAAAACCACAAAATAGAAAATACTGCTCTAAGCTTGTATCTGACTCTGCACAATACACTCCATTCTTTTAAGAAAATGCTCATGAGTAATTAGATGTACTTCAAACTAATTAGAGGCTACAGAAACCTCAGTTAAATTCTTACCTGTAGTGTCGTCACTGCTTTTTTCCTTGCTTGGACTAAGGGTGTCAGACAAATCATTCGATTCTTTGACTCGTGCTTGGTTCTCTGCAAGAGACAAGGAAAAGCAACTACAATCAATAAATGCTTTGTTCATAACTTCTCCTATACACCCAACTACTGCTAAATGTCAACAGAAAGCAACTTGGTTCAAGAAACAGTTAAAAACCTGGTGGCTGCTTATTTCTTTGCAAGTGTGAGCTAAAATGGATTCTGCATCTCTGAGTCATTAACCCAGCCTAGCCTCTAATAGGGGATGCAACTGCCTCGTGCACAGCTTGAACTTGGGTTAATGCTGTGTTCTTGCCAGCTGGAACTGGGCAAAAGCTGATTCAATCAGCAAACAAGTAAGAAAAGAAAACTAGAACAATGCAGATACTGTAGCAAGTCAGAAAGAAATGGCTGTTAAGAATAAAACTGTGCTTTAGTATTTTGGACAAATAAAATAACAAGTCATGTACATACTGCACTGCACAAAAGAAGTGTGGTGTGTATCATTAAAGAATCACAGCAATATAAATTAATAAGTTAATTTCTAGAAAGAATTTTCAGATTAAATTGTATTAAGAGAAAGCAATGTATGTTTTTTCCACAAAAAAATACCTTCATGAAATAGCTGCTCATATGTAATTCAGTACATTATATGCAGCTTAGTGAAGCCACACAATTGGTTTTTTTGTTTGCTGTTTTTTGTTGCTGTTGGGTTTTTTCCCCCATTTCTAGGTTTTTAGTGGAGACTACATATTTTCAAAAGATGAGAGGATTTAATTATATCAGTGCATCCTGTTCTCACACAGAATCACCCCTGACTCAAAGTCTAAATTTTATACATGACTGAAATATATTTGTAAAAAGTTTTCTTGAATAACAACTCCAGTTTAGTTCTGATGAGTCCATTAAAGGACACACCATCTCTGGGGTGGGCTAATCCAGCAGGTCTATCAGCATGGAACTGTCACCAACATGCAGGTGAGGTTATGTAAAATGAAATCTTTCTTGGCTGCCTACTCAGAGCCTTTCTTTGACAGCACTGCTGCCCACCTGCAGATTAACAGAGGCTTCCTCTGAGTCTCAAGTTCCAGGCAGGGATATTATATAAAAAGGGGTCAATACAGCATTCCTAATACACAGACTTCTACCATCCATGCAAAAAGCACAATAAACACAAATAATTTCATCACCTACAGATAACGTGCATGCAACAATGAAGTACCAGGACATGGGAAGAAAGAAGCACATGTAGAAATAAACTGTGTTATACCAACAGGGTTAGTATATGAAAGTAAGTAAAAACCAAAGGAGTAATGAGATATCTTTTCAAATAACAACAGAATACACAGAACTACATCTCCCCAAAATGAAAGAACTGGAAACTGCAGACAACCTGTGCACCTYCACGGGGAAATCAACATSACAGAACACGGACATGTTAACAGAAAAAACCCCGAAGTTTTCTTCATCTAACATGAAAAGTTTTTTATCACTCTGTGCCAGAATAACATCTACTTGTACATGAAACAGAAGGCAGCAAGTACAAACAAAGCAGCTGATGAAGAAACTCTTTCCATCCTAATGCAACCAAAATCACTGGAGAGGAGGAAGAGGAAAAGCACCTGTACAGTTAAAGCACACTAGTGGTTCAGACCTGACAGCTATTCCAACACAACTCCCATGATTTTAGCAGACTTCAAAGTCCATAAAGACTGCTGTAGTTAAAAACTTAACTTTTGAGGGTGGTTCTTTGCTAAAACAAAAAGGATTCTTATTTTTAGGAATAAGGTTTTAAACTAATATCTAAAGATGCTTTACATCAAAGCATTCTACATTATCATACAGAACCAAGCTCACAGGATTGTCATTGAAACTGTAACARTTACTAAACCAAGTAATAGATACTTTTTAAAGGATTAAGAAAAGTATAACCTGAAAGCCTCACCCATGTCAGTTCTAYTAGTGGCCGATCCAGATGCACTAAGCTGAGCAAGATCCATATCCAAYTAACTTTACCATATCTGGGCATCCATGGAAATACTGCTTTCCTGCTCTGTGCAGAATGGGAGGAACAGTGCAAGCTCCAACCACCGAATTAATTCTCTCTCCCACAGCTCCCCCTTATATACTTCCACCCACCCTCAACACACCACTTCTTCCTCCCTCCTGTCGCCCTCCTTCTGAAACAAGGCACAAAAGATTAGGCACCAGAAAAAAGATGCACTAGTTCTATATGTGAAATGGCAGAAGAGAAAAAGAGAAATTATTAGAAACCTGCTTCCTATTCTGGATCCAGAGACACAAGCACTAAACTCCTTCCTGTACTATATATCACAGCAGTTGTTCCTATTTCCCATAATAAAACTGAGCTGAATAAATATAGCCAAAGTGATGAAGTATATTAAAATGTGTTGACATCATACTAGATGAGTTAGAATATATTACCAAACACTAAAAATAGCTCAGGACTTTGCAATGGAAGGGGCATGCAAGTGTTACGTTACAGTTATTGTATGCATTCTTTTGCCAAATATGGCACCCTGTCTATAGCTTCCTCATATACAGAAAGGAAATAAAGGTGCCATTCCATGCATTAAGGGAAGATAATTTAAAATGTCTCTAGAACACTGGACCTTTTAACAAGCTCACATTCATTCAATACAACAACAYTTTGCAGAAGGACAGAGGGTAAAGAAATGAGGTAGTATGTCTAGACATCAATAAAAAGCTGCAAGAGAGGAACGAGCCTACAAGTCCAAACAATCTTACATTATTAGACACATGGGAAGTATTGACCTGCACACTTTGTAGCACTCCTGATTCTGGCACTGCAAGGTAAGGATGCTTGCTCCTTGACAAGGCAAGTATTTTCTAATTAGCTCCCTTAATTTAACTTGCTTTGTACATTAGAAAAAAGAGTTAGGGAAGCAAAGATATATTTTACTCGGAAAAGACACACTTAGGAAGTTAATATTTACTTTAAAGTTATGAGGGTGTAAGTCAGAAAATGGCCAAATTAAAATACACTTTTAAATAAATCTAAAAATGACACCAAACGTTATTTTTAAGTAGTCCTATAATAAAGCCAAAATCCTGTTGGGCATTCATGCAGGCAGTAAAGCTTGAATTGAATTTATAAAAATTACTATATTTTAATTTTTTTAAATGAATTTTCAGGTGAGGACTCRGTCAATACTGACACTAGCAATTCATGCACTCAATCTTCAAAAACGGTTTCCATTACATCTTTTTACTCTACAATAGCATTTGGAGTAGAGTTCAGCAAACAATTTCCCTCCCCTTCATTGAATTTTTCCTCAAATGCGTATTCAATCACAACTCAAACTGCTGGCTTAACACAGAACATGCACTGAGTGACAGGAAAAGCATGCTTCAATACCAGTTAAACAATCCAGAAGTCTAACCTTTCAAAAGCTTTGTTTCTTCCACTTTGGTTAGATGTCCTTCATCTATGATCTTGTCTGCCAAACAAAATAAGTGTTACTTTCCAAGCTCRAATTTAACCAGCTTTTCCCTTCACGCATCTACGTAGAGTACATTCCATGACCAAATTAAAAGCTGATAATATTACTTCCTACTCAGGCTTGAACAAAAACCTTATTCTGGCATGGAATAATGAAACAGAGCACACAAGCCTACTGGAACTTTGTGATACAGTGCATAATTATTTCTCCTTATTAACTTACATAATGCTGCAGTTCACTAATGAGAATTCAGAAAAATTTATTTTATGCACTTAAAAAAATCTAAACATAAGCAACAAATTATTCATACATTTCTCAAGTTTAGTCATCAAAAAAGGAATTTGAAGAGCTGGTTGTCTGAAACAGACACTCATCGAGTACAGGAAAAACCTAGAAATACACCACAGTAAAACAGCAATAGAGAAGTCCCCTCCACACCAAAMCTGCTTTTAATAGCATCTCTGAAGGTACATGGAAACAGCCTTTCTTCACTTAAAAACTTTCAAGAGAGCTGCACAAACCTCCAAAAAACCAGGAATCCATCACATTCAAGTTCATGAAAAATGGAGGTTTTACATAAAGTCTGTGTAAGGGAAGTCKTCTCTTGTATGTCAGGTGCAAAAACCTTAGAGGTGGAATTTGAGACTAGATTGCTAACTTCATCCTAAATCCTGCTAGGACATGAAGGTTAACAAAAACACCGAGGGAAGAACAGGACTGGATTAATCAGAGACACTAAAAGAATTATGGAATAATTAATTTCTTTTTTCAGATGTTATTTCATTATTTTAAATTCCTTAAGAAGTGATGCCAACACAGAAATATCGAGGGTCCCATCTTATAGATCACATCCTCAATTTCTATGCAGTAGATTTGGCAGTTTAGACCATGTTGAAAGCTGTTAACAGCCCCTGAAACATAAAGCTTGAAGCTGCCTCTGCTCCATGCTCTCCCTGCCAGATCCCTGATAACCAKGCAGGGAATGCAGTTTGCTGGAAAATTCCGTGTGCTGTTAACAGGTAACAGACACAGAGACTGAACAAACAGCACAAACAGGAGAGCWCACACTAAGGAAGCTGGATGACAGAAAGTCCTCTTCAAGTTTTAAATTAGAAAAAAAGAACTTTAGTCAGCATTTCCAGTTTCCAGTATCTCTGAAGATCAACTCCTCCCTCCACTCCTCTGATGGCATGTTGCTGCAACTATGACAGTCTAAGGACACATGCAGAGCAGGATCTGGGAGGAGCTACCTTTCACAACCCCAGATGGCAGACAAGCTTTCAGACAAAAAGCCCTGAGGTCTGAAAAATGGTTTGCATGGCCAAGAGGTTKTCCTGTCCTCTTCCCTCCTGCAGAGCTAGAAAAACCAGTCTAAAARAGATGTTCCCTTCACCTTTTACCTAAAAATACTGTCCTGCATTAGTGTAACATTTTATTAATACTGTTCCAGAAATACAYGGAACAGCACACTGGATTTCCAGGACTGGCTTAAAGTCTCAAGCAACTGTAGGAGATCACTCATCATCCAAGTTCAGAACAGCCTTGAGTKCCTCAGAGATGGTGAGAATGACTGTGCCTAGACTGAGGAAAGCACCGTGGAGGGAATCAAGTTACTGGCAGCYACAAGTCAGGAGTTCGAGTGGTATCATGAGTCCTCTTCCATTTTAAAATAAATCTAAACAAAAGTTTTCATATATTATTCCAGGATTATTCCAGGTCTCAGCARTGGCTGAAAGAGGGGTGGAAGGGAAGGCAGCAGGAAAACAGCTGAGGAATTCTCCCTGTAGATCTGAAAAAAACAGCTGAATGCAAAAACAAGTAGCTATGAACTGCTCGATCTGAAGGGGTAACACCTCATCTGTGCTAGACTGCTAGCTTAAAATAGGCTTCCTTAATCAGYTTACAGAGGAAAACCTAGCATTATAAATTGATGGATCTTTTACCTTTCACAATTCAGTAACTGCTAAACCCTGAATAATTACAATAGAAACCAGAAACTACCCTTCTTGATGCACGTTTTCCAAACTGGAACTTTTCCAGCAGTTCTTTACTCTCTACTCCCATGACTAAAAGAAACTGCAGGCTTGGTTGGGTTGTTTTTTTTTTTTTTTTTTCCATTTCTGTGGTGGCTTACTGTTTTCTAGTGTCCATWACTGATTTCACCATTTGTACAAAAGGTGTCTCCTCRGCACTATTTCTTCAGCCAAGAGCTTGAGCAGCAGCACATGAGTCCCTTTGCCCAGCCTGACCCAAAGCTGGCACAGCCAGTGTTTTTCACTTGGTGACTGATACCTCTCCTCACTTCCAGAATGACTGAACCTCCTCTGTGTTCAAGAACACTACTGTTAGTATATGGCATAAGCCAACAAAAAATAGTTTATTTAGCATGCTCGTGTGTATTTAGATAATATACAGAAAACTGGACGTTGGCATCACTGAACTACATAGAATCTTATTTTTAACTGTAACCACCCTAGTCAYTAAAAATGGCACAAACGAGACAACAATCAGAAAGTAAAAGATAAAAAGTCTTCCTCYTTAAAAAGTCTCTTTCAAATCTCTGCATCTTTTTATTTTACTATTTCAGAAAACTTCATAAACCTGATTTATTTTTAAACCAATTAGTATTTTTCCTGAAACAAAACATTCAATCTTGGCTACCAAAATACAAATTAGGGTGAGGATCCTATCTTTAATTTCTGGCACAAAAGGATTTTAGCTTTCATGCTATCCAGTCACTACTCAGCAGAAAGCAGAGAGATGCATGTAACTAATGTTTTTACTGATACAATCTGCTGTGAAGTTAAGCCTTCAGTTCATCTTTAAGAAAATTCATCATTCTTTTCGTTGATGAATGCAGCTTAAGCCAGCTTTYCTTTAGGCTTTGAGGCATTTTCTATCTTTTCAATTTAAGAACTACATTTTAGATTTAGGTTGCCTATCACTRTGTGCAATATAATAGCTAAGATCTGTTAACATTACAATTATCACTTAAGTAACMTGGCCCCTCTACATTTTGGCATCTAAACAATTTTTGAAGTAGGCCAGGTTTGAAAACCAATAAAAACCTGGCCCTCAACACACAAATTTCCAGCCATCTGAAAAAAGTGATACTAAACAGCTTTAACTTCACTTGACACCTGCAGGTCGAAGGAAAAGTTAAAAATAACCATTCAATCCATCCAAAAAATACTATTAATAAATTTGRAAAAAAAAATCAGCTTGGGAAAAAGAAAAAAAAGTTGACTTGCATTTAAAATCAAATGCAAAAAAACCCATAAACTAAGGGAAAAAATAAAGACGCAAATRAAGAAGGGTTAGACTGGAGTGAAAGACAGGAAGCTAGCAGGGTAACAAATCTTACTTTGGTCTATACATCATCACATTTTTGTTAATAATGCATATCATGTACTGATCAAAAAGAAGCACCATGACTTTTGCAGTTGATATCACTGATTTTCATCAGTGGTTACTGAAAAAAAAGCTATGGAATGAGCAACAAGTGAACTGGATGTAATGATCAGAAAGTAACAGACTTCCAGATCATTCAGAGCCAGATTTCATAACAGTCCACAGATGTTACAGATTGGGACACATTACTGATGATATTGTGAGGGCACTGTGCTTAAAAAGTAAAAATTATTACAAAACATCTTTAAAAACCTACAGAAGCTGGATTTTATAAACCATCTGGTTCCTGGGATTTGTATTGCATTATTATTATTTAAGTAATAAACCTGCTCCTCTCAATACTTAAACCCCTGAGCAACACCCCAGCATACTACCACCATAATGAATTATATATTCTTTCTCTATAATGCCAATCTTTGTGATATTGTTCTACACTCTTTGCTGTGTGCCTTAAACTTGAGTTCCTGACAATCCCTGGAACTGTAATTTTTCTCCCCAGGAGTACCCAAACCTTGATACTACACAGAGCAAAGAACAGGAACAGGATGGAAGGATAGCATTTACATACAAAAGGAAAATAACAGACCCTGCAGCTCACAGTTTTTAATCTGATGATATTGTGAGGTCTGACTAAACATATTTGAATGTGGAAAAAGCAAACTTTCTGCTCAAGAAATACAAGAGCAAATGAGTTGGAATTTTTCTTGATGTGAGAGTAAAAACTTGTAAAATGTGAAATACTGAACACTTTTGAACTCATATTAATTCTTTTAAAAATTAAGCAGTTGAAGCCTTGCAGTGTAGCTTTCAGTGTCTCAAGAAAAGGGAGGCATAAGAACACTGACCTTAATTTTACTCTTATGAGTATTTCTATAACATCTTAGAATCTTTTACTAGATACTGTTGATCACTTTTACTTATCAACAGTGACAAGATTGGTCACATTTAGTTTGCAGAAGTGATACCAATCAAAGGTTTGCTAAAATAGATTAAGTTAACATCCAAACAATTAAAACAGGCAACCAATTTATATTTGAAAATCTCACAGTCTGCTCTTCATGTTCAGTCTAGACCAAAAAAATGTTTATTCAAACATTTAACTTCATTTTTATGTATCGAACAAAGATGATTCATACAAGATCTTTKCAAAATTTTAAATTATTTTAAACTGCAGCCTGACAGAAGACAGCTACCAGTCATTAATWTTTAAAAATAARCATTTTTTAAATAAATAAAAYGTAAATTTTCTTAGACAAATGTTASCAGCATCACGTCATTCGGTTTATAGCACTGCAATCYGGATCACAAGCAGTAAAGTCAAACAAGTCTGCTCCACTTCCTCATGAAAATTTGAGAGGAAAGAGTCCAATGGGCATAGTGTCAAAAAAATAAACTCTCTTATTTCTGCTTCTAAATGCATCTCCACTCACCTTTAGGTATATAATTTCTATAAACTAAAAGCAGGKTTTTTTTAAAGCTGAATAGCACTTTGCTCTCTTCATTCTAATGATATTTTTCTCTTGGTAGATAAAACATATTAACATCTGCAGCTCTTCTTCAATTATAGATGTGCACACAGTGCTGTTTCATTACTCACTTTCAAAAGCCATTTGCTTTGAAAAACATGTTTCACATTGCAGAATAACACTCCTTTCTAAAGGCTGGTATTGCATCTTTATTTTCTGTTCTTCTTAATACCGTCTCTTGGATTTCCACATAAAAACTATGGACTTGTTTTCCTTTTTGTTCTTTGTTACAACTAATTTGGAGAATGTGTAAGGCCTTTAATTATCAGATAAATTATAAATACATGAAAGGCACYTTATCTCTGTCCTGCTACTGCCTGTGATGTTTGTTAAACTGACAGTGTTAGGCTTTCAACTTAATTTGTAACAGATGAAAAATTACACTCAGTTCTAAACATCATGTGGCAATATCACCCTTTTGTTTGTCAGGGCACAATAATGGATCAACTGATAAGAAGAGACAATGTGATCATCACTTTGCAAGAGCAAAGATATCCTATTACTGATTCTACCAGACATCTGCTTAATACCACAATGCCACAATTCTACACTTTAGAAAATTTCTGCTACTACAGAAATATTAAATAGTAGTGACAAATTCTGGGTTTATCCACCTTTTCTGGGTTTTCTGTTGTTTTTAAAGCAAATGTGAACACTCTTGTACTCACTCTGACATTCTATGATCTGATGAATAAAAGTGCAGTCCCCTCCACTCTTTGAAAGAAAGTGCTCTAGTAGAGAAAGAAACACTTCAGTTTACATCTTCTTATCATTTTCAAATTGATGCAACAAAAAGTTTGAAAGGCATATTAAAAGTATTTGTCATAGTGTATTCACAATGGACTTYAGGAATCTGAGTTAATATGCAAGCAGACAAGACATAAAATTGAAATKATGTTTGAGCAATACTAGGAAATAGATTATTCTTTTGAACTGATCAGAAGAAAGGAGTACTTCAACTACATTTTCAAATGAAACATGTTTTTAACCTATATTCTTCAGCATTTTTATTAGCTTCAAAAGGGTATTTTCTAAGTTTTGCATTAGTCTTCATGCTGATTCTTCATATCTAGCACCGTCTATTTTAAAAAAGTCTTATTGAATATATCCCTATACTTTTTAAACAATTTCACTTTGAAAAGACAGTTCTACAGCAGAGTTCCTAAAACTGGGCTCCAATTCCCTGATTTCCTAAAGTCCTTGTTCAGCTCCCAACTCCATCAGAATCCTGCATTTTTTAAGGTGGAAACACTTTCTTTCTGAAGAACCTAAAAAATCCTTTGACTAAGAATCCAGCAGTCTGAAAAAAAAGGTTGTCATTAAGGACAAACCTGCACAATGTGGTTCATTCTAACCAAATCGTTCAATCATTAGCTCTGACATCAGCTCAGTTGCAGTAMTAAGCTTTACTATATTTCAAAGTTGCTCTAAAAAGTAAACTTCTTTTAACTYACAAGGACAGACCTTTCAAAAACAGCATCATGGCTGTAAAGTTTATTTCTCATATTTAAACTTCCTTTTCTTTTCATTTTTACCTGGTTCTCTAAGTGACTGTATACAAAAAAATTTCTCATATCTTTCTTTATGTAATACATCGCTCACAAAATTCAAAAATGAAAGCCACCTGTGGTGCAACACACTGGAAAAATACCACTTTTTGAAACAACTTAGCTCTACACAACTTTTATCAGGGGCTTGATGAACAAATAAGYTCCTCTCTTCTGCACCAGCTTTTCCCTAAGTGCAGCGAGACAAAATGAATGCCTACCCATCATTCTTTGAGTACACTTTTTAATGAGAAGCTGGTACAGAGGCTATAACATGAATTCTTTGTTCCTCTACTCTGAATACAGCTCTTGACTCCTACAGCCACAGAAAAAAGTAATGTAAAATCATTATTCTTGTCATGGCCACATAGTGTGCCTGTGCACACACTTTGAGGACTTGATCTGAAGTCGAGAGAGAGAGAGAGAGAGACAAAAGGAATTCTTAAAAGCAWGCTGATTTTACATTGTTTTACAATTTTCCTTTCATTTCCAAAGTTGCTCAATCTGCATTAGAAACCCAAAATTCTCAGATCTCCTAAAATAATGCAAAACTACACAGAAAAAAAAACAACTAAAACCAAAAACCCAGCAGTAACTGTCTCCTGCTGTTGTTAAGWGAACAAAATCCAAAATCTGGCAGAGCAAATAACTGCCCATCTGTCATACAAGGGCTACATAAGGGACCGGAAGATGCAGGAAAGGCACAGACTGTCATGAAGAGAACACAGGGCAGCAAGAKGTAAAATGCCAGAGAAATGGGGATGGATCATGTAAGGCAGAGATGCAGAAAAATGTGGTTCAACTGACAGAATGAAAAACTACCCTAAAATACAGAATAATGAAATACCATTGTGCATGACAAAAATATGTGCATGACAAAAAAGGTGATAGATTGTATAAACACACAGAAAGACAATTGGAATGAGCAGTTATATGCTGCCTGTACTCAATGAAAARTAACTTGGCAAATAGCTTCCTAAAATTTCCAGGTTTAGGCACAATTTCCACTTTTAGTCCAAGGATGGAGGAAGCCACTTCGTCATGCACCCATTCAGATGACATTGACTCTAATGCAATCCAGAACCTCAGTGTGCACCACAGCTATGTGYCTAAAATGCTAAGAGGAGCAACCARTACCTWRGACAGGGGAGGTTTTGGTTTAACAGATCTATCCTCCTGCTCCCAATAGGGACTACCCATGAGGTCATGCCACAATTAACTTAGGATTTTGCTACTGGTCTCCCTAGTTAAGAATCATATAAGATACAAATATGGAGTTTAAAATTCCRTTATAAATACGGTAATCCTTAAACATTGTGAATGTTAGTTAAAACCATGAGTTCTCTATAGAGGACCTCAGACCTTCAAACTAATACTACCACCATTTCTCAGATTGTAGAGGCAAACAACATGAAAAAAAAAATTAAGACTGACATAAGAGGACAAACAGATCTCAGCCAATTAAACAATTTGGAATCTTTGTTATATGTGATATTGGACAATTTTACTCAAGCTTCACGTGAGCAAAAATATTTGGCTTTAACTAACTGGCCTTTAAAAAACCCTGTTACATAGTCCAATCTGTATTAATTCCTGTTTCCCATAAAAATACTAACTTCTAAAAAGTTAGTTTCCACTAATTACAAATTTTATATACTCATTTTTCATATTAAATTTATATTAAAAAAATAGGTTTTGCTGACTTTATTTAGCATACCCAACTTTACCAGAAAAATATTGTATGCCTATGTGTTGCAAGGGAAAATTAAAAGGTAAAACAGTCAATGAGTTCTCCACTTTCTTGTCTCACAAGCCTGACATCATTCATTCAGTAGACTTCTACTGATTCCAGTGACAGCCAACCCAACAAAAAGAAGACAGCTTCCAAGTGGTTTCATTGTGTTTTACAGAAGTTTCTAAAAACACTGTGACTGGAAGTAGAAGCAAATATAAATGCTGGTCAGGAGTGGACTAATTCATTTTCAAAGAGAATATTATTCAAAGTAAAACTTTACAGAACATTTTGAATTTTTTCACCTTCAAACATAAACCATAAGACAAAAGGTAGCCTTCAGATACACTACCTTTCTCTGTGCTCCCATTAATTTTAGGTATGAAGTCGTCAACTTGTATGCCTAGGATTAAGAGAGGGCATTATTTTTGGAACCAAGAAAGATTTTTTGGGTTTTGTTTCTTTACAARCACAGCATTTTCAAATGTACCTGGCTTTTCATACCACCTCCTTGCAAGTACCTAATCAGACATACCAGGCCAAGTTTGATGTGTTTCCTGCTACAGATCATGCTGCTGTTTGTTCAAAYGTGTAAGAGGCTACTAACTCCAAAGAATTACTGCCTGTTACATACATATATATCCGTGTACATATATATAAATATTTTAAAATCTAAGGGCTCTGCGGCCCCTCCAAGCCTCGGGCTGGGCCAGAGCGAACACCCGCAGCAGCAGCGCCCTCTGCCGGCCCTGCCCCGGCACGGCACCACCAACCCAGGA